TCTGTTAGGTGAGCGAGCCTGTTGATTTGCCTGCAAGGTTTCCAATTCCTTCTTCCCTGTGGTCTCCCCCAGCAGATTCGCTGAAGGGAAAAGGCAGATACAGAATCTGCAAAGTCTGTGGCTGGGAAAGATTTTCCCGTACATTTCTTTGTTGTTCAAACTTGAAATGATAAGACTGTAGTCATTAAATATGTTTTCTCCTTTGCTAAACCTCTAGAGGAGTGAGTAGTTTAAGAGAAGAGATGAAGGAAACAAAACAGCCCCATACCTACAAGATGTTTTAAAAATTAGCATTTCTTGGATAAAAGGGTCATTTTACTCAGATTGTTTACTATAGTTTTCCTAACGTCATTCCAGCAAGCTTTTAAGAAAATTTAACTGACCAGGTAATTTAAACATGTACTGGTTATTAAAACCTGTTTTGTAGCATTGTTGGGAAGATCAAATAGAGAGCACAGTGCTGTGGCTGTAATGAGAGCTTAGTGAGGATTAGTTTTGTTATTTCTGTTTTTTTATTATTATTTAAAAATTTTAAATTATTATGACATAGCTCCCCGCTTGGCCTTTCTTGAGGTGGTTCTCTAGATTTCTGGAAGTTATTTGGGACCCTGGGAAATTTATTCTCTCTGACCCTCTTTCCAGGCAGGCCTGGTTTCACATCCCATTGTCCCTGACCAAACATGGGTGCTTAATTCTCCTCTGATATGGCGCATTCTTACTGAGCAGTTCTCTTATATGTGGCCAGACTGGTCAGGTTGCTCTTCCTTTGTAAGGAGCCAGTGGAACTGGCAGGACTGACAAGCCTTTAATACAAAAGGTAATAACTTTCATCTCTTTATCCCTGCCACATTGCACAGTGCTCAGTAAATGTTTATTGGATTGAACTGAATATTAGGAGAGGCAGTAAATTCAGTCAAAGGAATGACTCTCTAAAGGTGGAATATCAGACAATATCACAGGGAGGGAAAGAGAGGTCATCTTTGGGAGTTAATATTCCTTAGACAATACTACAGAGTATCAGCATAATCTGGGAATGGCCCACTATGGGGAGTGCTGGTCAGGTGTGTGTCAGAGGAAGACCCTAGATTCATGGGAAAATAAAAGTAGACAGTATCATTGTATATGACAGGCAGGTGACTTCCAGGTACAGAGGTACCCCAACACCTGGAACTGTACCACATATGTAGAGAACCAAGGGGCCTGAAGAGCAAGTCTTGGGAGCAGTACAGCAGGTCTGTGTCTTAGCTTGGGCTCCTATAATACAATACCATAGACTGGGTGGATTAAGCAGCAGAAATTTATTTCTTACAGTTCTGGAGGCTGGGCATGGTCAGGTGCCAGCACGGTCAGGTTCTGGTGAGGGTTCTCTTCTCAGCTTGCAGACAGTCACCTTCTTGTGGTATCTTCACACGGCAGAGAGACAGAGTATGGGAGCAAGCAATCTCTCTGCTCTCTTCTTTTAAGGGCACTCATCTTATCATTAGGATCTCAGCCTCATGACTTCATCAAAACCTAATTATCTCCCAAAGACGCACCTGTAAATATCATCATACCTGGGGAGGGGGGTAGGGCTTCAACATATGAATTTGAGGGGGACTCAATTCAGTCCATAGCAGCCTAAGTACTTGGGTTGGAATCCCGATCTTCATCATAGCCAGGGCTTTGGGCAAATTATTCAACCTCACTTTGCCTCAGTTTCCTCATCCATAAGATAGAAATAGAAATACAAGTCCCTGCCTCAGGATGCTGTTGTGAGGCATGAACAAATACAATTAAAGAACCTGGACCAGCATCTGCAGCATGGCAACTCTGAGTTATTTTTGTTATTAGCTATAATTATCCAGGGAGGTGAGGGCAAACGAAAACCCTTAATTAGGTGAAAGCTGAGCACTTGAACCCAACCAGAACACCCACCTTAGCTAGGTCAACATTTACCAGTGGCCTCGGGAGTTGGCAGCAAATGACCAGGAACCAGCCTATGTGCCGTCACGGGTCTGCCCCGACACACCTAGTCTCCTGTGCAGAGCATCAGGCTTCCTTTCCCACCAACCGGGCCTACCTTGTACTTCCCGTTCTCTCTCAACTGCCACCTTGTCTTAGCATTTCTCTGTGTCTGTCATTGTCTCACTTCTCAGGGGAAATCTTTAAGGGTTCTTGGCTGCCATTCTCTGGTGGCCAAAGAGCCCTGTTCCCTCCTCAGGGTGCCTTCCTAGGACTAGCTGCTGCCAAGGGGCTGCCACTCATGCTGGTTCTTCCTCTCCTTGGATCCCCAGAGCAGACGTCAGCAGGGCAGCCACCAGAACAGGAGATGCTTGGGGGAGACACCCACAACCAGGGCAGGAAGTCCAGACAGTACTGCAGTCTTTTTAAGCTCCCAGATTCCATTTGGCTTTGTTCTCCCTCCTTCATCCAGACCTATCAGACCCAACACCCCCTTTTACATGCAAATATTTTGTAATTCTCAGGTGAGTCTCCAGTAATGAAATGCATAGATACAACCATCTACCTGTATACTTACCTCCAAAGAACTAATATAATGCTCTAACTGTGCTATAAAGCAGAACTAAAGAGGGTGATTTATAGATATTTCAATATGTAGATGCTCAGGCATGACACTGTTAGAAGACAGTGTTTGTCAGCTCCTTGGTTTCCAGACAGACCCCCATGAATACAACACGCACAAATGCAAGTGGTGGGCCATTGGTGATTTGATTTTCCAAAATGGTGGACAGTTCCTGGAAAATTGCAAATAAAGTTCAGTTTTGCCTGGATCTACCTGAGAACCACTGCTCTAGGCTGCTTTGAGAAAAGCTCTGCGTAAATGGTAAAATATTCACACATGCCCATTTCCCGGTCCAACTCCAAAGGGCCAAGTAAGAAACAGAGGCCTGGGGATCAGAAAGAATCAACTGGAGTCAAGACAGACATTCAAACCCTGCTGTACCACCTCCTTTGATGTGACCTCGGGGCAGTTATTAACCTTTCTAACCTTGGCTTCCTCATCTACAAAATATGCATATAAAATACCCACTTGATGTAGTTACTGCAAGGATTAAATGAAATCATGTGTGAAAAGCACACTACACAGGACCTGGAATATAGAAAGCTCTCAGTAAAGGCTTTTAGAGTGACAAGTAGGCAGGAAATAGCGTAGGGAAGGAAAAAAACCTTTTTCCTCTACCCGTCTTAGGTTCTCCAACTGGGGCCCTGTAAACTGGCAAAGATAGTTAACAAGAGTAAAACGGAAGTTTATTAACATGTGCATCACGCAGGTACACAAGGGAGCACCTAGTGATGAGTAACCCAAAGAGGGGGTTAGAACTTGGGCTCATAGCCTATCTTAGGCTAAAACAAAGGAAAGGTGTTTGGGGTTTCTGGGTGTGGGAGACCAGTCATGGGAAGGTGACCAGAGAAATCACAGTAACAGGGGCAGTTTAGGAAGGCTTGTTACGCAGGTTCAAGTCATGCCTTCTCCATTGGTAACAGTTGTTAAGAGCCCTCCTCTTCCTGGTACCAGAGAGGGAGACATCGTTCACAAGTGGAAATCTTTACAAAAGGAAAACTTATCCCCTGTTTTTAGAACTTTTCCTGCATCTACTGGGTCTCAGTGGCCTTAAGCTCAAAATAACTCCGATGCCAAGAGGCATAATTTGGGGTGGCATATTCTGCTGCCCTTCAATAGTCAACAAATATTCACATCAGAGCTCTTCAGATGGTTCCTGCCTCCAAAGGTGTGACTTGCAGTGTCTCCCCGACACCAGGAACTAAGCCGAGGAGAAAGACAAGTCCAGCTGGGGAGCTGTCCCCTGTTTTCTTTGCCCTCGGGGAACCAGGCTCACTGACTCACAGGGCTCGGTGGGTCTCCAGTGGCTCCTGGAGAAGCCTACAGGGTCACCCACCACTCTATGGAGTCAGGATCCCTGGAAAATACCTCAAGGGCCTCTGTGGCTGAAGAATATTGACCACCTACCATGGGGTTGGGGTGATACTGGTCAAGAAGCAGCCAGGATCTTGGTGGTGTCACGTGCTTAACCAGAGCCTGATTTTCTAGGACACATACGACCGTCAGGTACTTCTGCTTTAGGTATTTCTTGCTCTTGAAATGTCCATCTTCTGACCTAGACAGCTGTGCGAGGCACTGTTCAGGTCAAACTCACCCTGAGTTGCGTCCGGTTTATGGATCCTCTCAGCAAATATTTAATGAGTAATCACTGTGAGCAAGGGATGAAGCAGTAAGCAGTGCAGGCAGAAATCCACTCTTTTTATTTGATCTCTTAAATAGACTATGAATTCTTCTCTATTTGTGCTCAGCTCAGAGCATGATGGTAATAATAAAAGATAAAAACATATAGAGGGCCGCCATGCTCCATGCACTATTTTAAGTGCTTCATAAGTGCATGTCCTCATTCAAATTTCATAATCACCCTTGAAATAGCTTTTATTTATTTATTTACTTTCAATTTATTTATTTTATTTTTGGCTGCATTGAGTCTTCACTGCTGTGCGCGGGCTTTCTCCAGTTGCGGCGAGCGTGGGCTACTCTTCATTGCGGTGCACGGGCTTTTCCTTGTGGTGGCTTCTCTTGTTGCAGAGCAGGGGCTCTAGGTGCGTGGGCTTCAGTAGTTGTGGTGCACAGGCTCAGTAGTTGTGGCTCACGGGCTCTAGAGCGCAGGCTTAGTAGTTGTGGTGCACGGGCTTAGCTGCTCCGCAGCATGTGGGATCTTCCCGGACCAGGCCTCGACCCCGTGTCCCCTGCATTGGCAGGCGGATTCTTAACCACTGTGCTATCAAGGAAGCGTGAAATAGCTTTTAATATTATCTCCATTTTATAGATGAGGAAAATGAGGCATGAAGAGGTTAAATAACTTGCCCCAGGTCACACAGCTAGCAAGTGTCAAAGTCAGTATTTCAAGTCCCACCTGCTCCAGCACCTCTGTGCTCTACTTCCCATGGTACACAGGGGGTGTTTAATAAATAAAGGTTGAATGATCAAGACATCATCTATGTATACGCACGCACATGTTTATTTATAGAAATAAAAAAGTTTCACTTGTGCTTTCAGCACCTCAGCATGGCGCAGCGTGTGAGTCTTCTGGTCTTTCTCCATGGAGTTCCCACATCTCAGATGGTGAGTAGTCACTGGTGTGTTCCCACTTCTTCCCCTTCCAGGGTATCTAGATTTACCTATAGGAACACAAAGGCACATGACATCTAGGTTTCCTATACTCTGGAGATAAGATAGATTATGTCAAATTTTTTTCCCCATTCTTATACCCTTTTATATCCATTCCCTCTTTCAAGAAAGGATCTAAATTCATTTATGCTAAAATGAAGGTGACTAAGGGTAACTTAGGAATCAATACATGTTCAGAAGCAATGTTTAAGTTACTGACTCCAAGGCAGGGAGAGAGAGAGATACTAAATTGGATAAGGGGAAGGTCCTTCTGCTCAAGAATAACTCCACAACACATTCTACCTAAAAAATTATTTAAGTTTAGGTTTTTGTTTGAAGACGCAGAGAAGAGCCCATGGGTACAGAGGGAGATGGAAAAGGAGAATAACAGAGATCTGACTCAGAGTCTCCAGTGTGCTGCTTATTTCGTCTGAAATATTTTTTCCTTCCACTCCTCACCCAGAGCAGCCCTGCTCCTCCCTCAATATCTCTTAACTGCTAGTCATCCCTGGGAGTGTAGTTTAAACAGCTTCCCTGACCCTCCCTACTCCCCCACACCAGTCAAGTCAGATCATCCCAGACAAACTCGCATTTCCTGCACTTCTTTGAAGCACTTTATTTTTTCTTTAATATTTATTTACTTACTTATTTGGTTGCACCAGGTCTTAGTTGCGGCAGGCAGCCTCCTTAGTTGTGGCATGTGAACTCTTGGTTGTGGCATGCATGTGGGATCTAGTTCCCTGACCAGGGATTGAACCCAGGCTCCCTGCATTGGGAACGCAGAGTCTTAACTCACTGCGCCACCAGGGAAGTCCCTATAATAATGTTTTTAATATTTACAAAGTCAGAACATTAATATCACCTTCAGCATCTTAAACACGCTTATTTTGGTTTTGTTTTCTAATCGATTCTCTCTCATCAGCCATGTATAAAATGATTTTTCCTTTTCTAGCATTTTGTGGAACATTTTCAAAGTTTTCAGTTTATACTGCTAGAGAGTGCCCCATTTTCCAGCTCTTCTAATTACATGGATGGATATGACCAAATTGTCTGGTAGTATGGTCTAAAAATATACAGAATTGATTTTCCAAGTCATATTTGCCAATGCCAGATGCATTAGGCCTTTATGTTATTTTAAGATACTTTTAAAAACATTGAAATACATCTTCTGACAATCTTCACAATTAAATAAACCACTAGATACTTTTACAAGATGGTAATAGGCAGTAGGTGAGCATCAAGGACACTTATGAGGTCAAAGTATTTTGAGATACAAATCCAATTTTTATAGGCAAGAATTTTTTCTTGGGATTCATCTGACTTTGTATATTTTTGGTTATGGCCTGCATTTGGTCAAAAACACCTATAATGTTCTTAAGATAAAGATCTATTTTGCAAAGCATCTGTGAGGGTAGTTAGCAGAGCAGTTTGGAGACTGAATTTCAGATTCATTGTAGCTTTGCCCCTTTGCCTGAGATCAGCGGTTAAAATGGACTTCTGACACACGGTCAGAGCAGGGTTCAGATATTGGCAGTATTATCTTTGGAATTGTAATTTTTGTAGTTCTTATGTGTATTTCCTAGGGCTGCTGTAACAAATTAGCACAAACCTGGTGACTTAAAACGATAGAAGTTTATTCTCAGAGTCTAGAAGTCAGAAGTCACGGTGTCAGCAGGGCCATGTGTTCTCCAAAGGCTTTCAGGGAGAACCCTTCCTTGCCTTCTCCAGCTTCTTTTGGCTCTTGAAGTTCCTTGGCTGGTGGCAGCATAATTCCAGTCTTTGCCTCCATCCTCGCAAGGCCTTCTCCCCTGTTTCTCTGTGTGTTAAAACTCTCTTATTGGGTTAAATCCAGGATGAACTCATCTGGAGATCCTCAATCATATCTGCAAAGGCCCTATTTCCAAAGAAGGTCACAGTCACAGTACTGAGGGTTAGAACTGGTACAGGTCTTTCTAGGGAACACGGTTTGACCTGCCACACCTACCAAAGTCCATTTAGGGCATGTCATGTATCACACCCGCCCTTCTCATCTATCACAATGTGCTCCTTCAGAGGACCTGGTGGCAGGTCAGAGGTGGGCCAAGCCATGAGCTCAACATGATACCTCTTCGAAGACTGGAACATTATTATAGGGACTTCCCTGGTGGTGCGGTGAGTTAAGACTGCGCTCCCAATGCAGGGAGCCTGGGTTCAATCCCTGGTCAGGGAACTAGATCCCACTAGTTTCCTGGAAGATTTTTTTTTTTTGAGAAAAATTTAACTGGTGATTTAAAACATGTTAGTAGTATAATAAGCATATTGTGGCATAGAGTTCAAAGTTCACGTAAATATTTAAGATGAAATGGGAGACTCCAGCATATATTTCAGTAGGCAATGGCTTTCCTACTAGGCCTCTAGAAGAATGGCATACACTCTTTTGCTGGTGGGGTACCTCAGAGTGAAAGTTTGGGCTTTGTCATCACAGTCCCCATTATTCACGAGCAACCTAGAAGTCTGTAACATATAACTTGTCATTTTGTGGAAACTTGAATTGTGTGTTGCTATTGACTGATTTATGGGAACAAATGACTAACCTAGCAAGTCAGTCTGGCTGGTCACCCAGCATAGGCATCTAGACTCGGCAATATTGTCCCTGGTTCTCACCCGTTCTGTGGGAGATAGAGTAAAATACAGGGTCATGTGTGAATTTTAGAATTTGTACAAGTGATTTATTCAACATATATTTCTTGACCAATGGTATGGGGATACAAGAATGATTCCCCCAAAAAGAAAGAATTCTTGTTCTTTCCAAAAAGGTAGATAGAAATATATGTCTACTATATATCTAGAATTAATGGGAAATATAAGCATACATAACATCACTGCCCATTTAGCTTAATCAGGATGGACATTGCTAATTGATCTTGGCGCTCTTTCCTGCTGAGTCCATGTTTTAGTCTGCTTGGGCTGCTGTACAAAATATCACAGACTGGGTGATTCAAACAATAAGAACTGATTTCCCCCAGTTCTGGAGGCTGAGAAGTCCAAGATCAAGGTGCCGGCCAATCCACTCCTGGTGAAGCCTCTCTTTTTGATTTGCAGACGACCATCTTGCATCCGCACATGGCAGAGAGAGAGGAAGCAAGCTCTCTGGTGTCTTGTCTTATAAAAGCACCAAGCCCAGTCATGAGGACTCCAACCTCACAACCTAATTACGTTCCAAAGGCCCCACCTCCAAACTATCACATGGGGAATTAGGGTTTCAGTATATGAATTGTAGGGGGACACAAACACTTAGTTCATAGCAGCCCAGTTATGGCTTCAGGACCAAAGGACATCTGCGCTTCCTGTATGCCTTCTTCATAGGGCTGGTATCAGAAGTGAGAGCATACTGTTTTAACCACTGATTCTGATAATTTTATATTCAGAGCGATGCTTTCTATTTATACATTTTTTTTCATGAGATACTTTTGGCATTATTATTCACTTAATTCATCCAAGGGACTAAACATATTTTGGAACATTACAGGATGTCACAAAGGGCCTAATGTGAACATTTAAGTGGAAATCCTCTGAAGATAGGAAAAAAAAAAGGGAATTTTAGCCAACATACACACATAGCTGAAAAGGTGTGTGTTTTTGGGGGGAGGAGATAAAAGTCAAAGTTGAAACCTGGCTTGCTCCTGGGGTCTGGCTGAGGGGGCGTGGGGTGGTGTCAGGGGTAATTTTGCACATGGGCTCGTAGACCAACTTGCACCGTCTCTGAGGTCCCAGCAGAGGAGGAAGCTGGGATGAGAAGGCCAAGGTTGGTTCTGGCTGCAGAGCAGAGACACAGAGACACAAGGCAAGAAAGTATGTGAGGCCAGGGTTCCGGTGAGAAGGAGGGATGGGGACAGAGACCGCTTCTGGCCCTTGACTTGCCCTGAGTCTGTTTGCACGTTTCCCATTTTATCCAAGACATTGTGTATCTTGCCAGAGCCACACACTTAGTATATGTACTTTGAGTAGCTCTTCTCCACATTTTGAGTAATAGGTACCCATTTGGAAAGGAAGCAACAGACCAAAAGAAAAAAGGGGTTCTAAGACAACTTCATTTTTCTGTTTATAGAAAGGGGTGCTTGGTTTGCCAGAAGAGAGCAGTGACAGCAGTCCTGGGTACAGAAAAAGCTACTATATAGTTCAGATGCTGGTAAGTCAATAATAGCATTTATGTTTCCTAAAAGAATTGTTACTTTGGATCAGGGTTTCTCAATAGCGGCACTATTGACTTTTGGGGCTGGATAATTCTTTGTTGCCGAGTTGCCCTGTGCATTGCAGGATGTTTACAGCATCCCTGACCTGTCCCCTCTAGATGCCAATAGCCCCCCTATCCTCCATATGTGATAGCAAACAATGTCTCCAGACATTGTCAAGTGTCCCCTGGAGGGCAGAATTTCTCCCAGGTTAGGAACTTTTGTTTTAGATGATTGACAAGAGAAGTCCATACTTGAATTGTTGAAACTTAGCACTCTGGTAATATTTGAGGGACTGGTAAAATAAGAGTGGGTCTGAATTTTTCAAACCTCTTGTGTACTGAACCCAAATAGAAATGTTTCGGATTCAGCGAGAACAGATTTTTTTTTTTTTTTTTCATGTAATATTCTTCTGTCATACCAGAAAAATTCGGTCCTGGGCTAAGTTTAGAAGACATAAAGCTGAAACTAACCATTTCAATTCTAATATCATCCTGAAGGAAATCCTAAAATAACAACGACACCAACCAAAAATTTAATCATTTAGGACATAATGACTAGGGTGTTTGTAGGCTCTAACTCTTGCCTAAAAAGCTCTGTGGCTCCCTTAGCAAGACCAACAGAACTTGGGCTCAAGAAAAGCTTTGACCTATTTATAGTTTTTGTTCATGGGACTTTACTACTCTAATGGGAAACTGGTGATGAAAAATAGGTCCATGGAGACAAGAAGGATATAAAGATATTAGACCAAATGAAAGGACACTGATGAGTCATGGGGTTTGTGGAATATCGCTCACTTGTGCCAAAAAGACTTCTTTGTGGAAGATGTCCTACCATTGTGACACACTGGTAATAAAGGGGAGAAAAATGAAAGGACAGAAAATATCTAGCCCATCTTAACTGTTTAGTCAAAGCACCAGCATGCAAATGACTCTGGTGGTGGGTGGCAGTGACCAGGGTACAGCAGCGATCTAAGGATGCTTTAGGACCTTTCTACTTGGGGACACTGACATGGACCTGTCCCCAGGAATTGCTTCCCCATTCTCTAAGTTTTGTATCTCAGAGGACAGATGGCATTCAAAATGTAGGCGAATCAGGCAAAAGCCAAACCAGTTTCCCAGTTTAGCCCAACTTCAACCACACTTACCTATTGCATGTCACCCCAGCCTCAGATGCTCCCTTTATCTCCTACAGAAGTCATATGTGCACTGCTCCCTCAAAAAAAAAAAAAAAAAAAAAAAAGGTTCTTTTAGGCCAAAACTGTCAATTAGCCTGGCGCCGCCTGTATACTCCAGCCAGGAAGTGCTTTCTCTAACTTGATCTCTCTGTCCTTCTACTTACAGCCAATTCAAACACTAAAAGAGCGACCAGAGAATACTTACGACAGGAAGGCAGCGCACTTGCTAGCTTTGTGGCCTTCCAATGTTTTTGGAGCACCAGATGGAATAAGACCCCCTGTCAGCACGGTGGCACGTGTCCAGCTTCTGCCAGTGCCCATCATTCCTAGACAGAGACCGTCCACCCGGCTCTTCCCCTGTTGGGAAGCACAGCTCTGGGACGCCCTGTCCTTGCACCCTCTGCCCAGTCCAAGACATCAGAGGGATATGGAGAGGCCTCTGTACCTGGGAACCTGGGGATCTACTGTGGTGTGTCAGCCAGGTTTCCCTTGACACCCCAAGTTCTGACTACTCCAGGTCTCCCCACAAAGGGAGTACTTCACAGCAGCAGCTTCCCCACCTCCCCTCCCCCCGCCGACTAAGGAGCCCCAAGGAGATACGTAAGCTGAAGTGTTCAGTGCTCCCTCCTCTTGGGAGAAGGCCCAGACCCACACCCACCTGTGCCGCTGTCTGCGTGTGGAAGCAAATTTCAAGGGAAGCGTTGAAAGCTCAGGAGCTCCTGGTCATATCACAGTCAATCACCCCTGGGGATGTACCCTGTGAACCTACTTTTATTACAGGATTCACCTCAATCACCAACTCCCGTAGAAATGAAGTTCTTCTCTCAGGAAGTACCATAGAACCAGGAAAGCGATGTTGGCACGTACACTTTGAGGCAATTTCTCACTGTTACCTAAAAATAAAACACCACAACTTCTAAACCATCTCTGAAAAAAAATTTTTTTTCAGCCTATGGTAGGCAAAAGTGGGAAGCCATAGGGATTTGCCATCTGTTGCCCTGTCCTATCTTTTTATTTTTGCATTTTTGTCCCTTGCCCTAGGGATTGGAATCTCCCGTTCTCAAATTGTCTCTGCCAAATCTGGATTCTTTTTTTAAATAGATCAAGTCTTGTTAGTCTTTTTGCAGTTTTTTAAAATGTATTTAATCTATTTTATTATTTATTTATTTTGGCTGTGCCGGGTCTTAGTTGCAGTATGCATGCGGGATCTGGTTCCCAGCCCAGGGTTCGAACCTGGGCCCCCTGCATTGGGAGCAAGGAGTCTTACCCACTGGACCACCAGGGAAGTCCCTGGAAAGATTCTGATGTTGGTCATTTATGCTTTTAATTCCTACTGTACTCTTTAGACTACTGAGATAATTTCGATGTCGTTGGTCTCCAACACTTGAGCTGCGGCCGCCAGAGTAAAAGAGAAAGCCCAGATGATAACAGAGGAATTCTAAATTGCAAAATTCTTAAAAGAAAATTCTCAGAAAAGAGCTGTTTTAGCAGGACATTTCAAAAAATACATCAGTTTTCGGGAATTCCCTGGTGGCACAGTGGTTAAGAATCCGCCTGCCAATGCAGGGGACCTGGGCCGCTAAGATCCCACATGCTGCGGAGCAACTAAGCCCGTGCGCCACAACTACTGAAGCCCACGCACCTAGAGCCCATGCTCTGCAACAAGAGAAGCCACCGCAACGAGAGGCCCACGCACCGCAATGAAGAGTAGCCCCTGCTCGCCGCAACTAGAGAAAGCCTGCACTCAGCAATGAAGACCCAACACAGCCAAAAATAAATAAATAAAAATAAATAAATTTAAAAAAATAGAATAAAATAAAAATACATCAGTTTTCTTCTCAGTTAAATCAGAGTCTCCTTCAAGTGGAAATAGCTGCATTGACAATGTATCTTCAGAGAGTGAATTGGAAGAGATGATAAAGGAGTGAGCATGAATTAGAAGCTAAACTATGCCACCTATGCAGACGGCTGGAATTGAAAAGCTGCAGCAACTACTCAATTTGATAACGGTACAACTGACAGAGATCCACTCAAAAATTTTAGTGGTGCTTGTCTGCAGCAAATGAAATGAAAAACTTAGAGCTGACTCAAAGGAGGAAGCTAACCTACTCAATAAAACAAAAGTTGATCTTCTGTTAGACAGCTTCTGTTGCAGAGGGTAAAACTATCCTATTTGGACAAGGTTGAAAGGACAAAGCATATGTCTTGATAGAAACCTTTCAATGAACTGTTTGCACAAATCTTGAAACTGGAAGAAAGAAGAATGATGTTAAACACATCAAAATGAGGATTTGGTTATTAAAACTTAATATATGATCAAGCAGCATTTTACGGGCTTAGAGCAGTGGTGTGCTGGCAAATGTTTAACTGGGTCCCTGGGAGGATAAAGCTCCAGTCTGTGGCTTTTGAATGACATCGCTAAATACAGAGTTGTGAAGAGGTGTGCAGCAGCACACCATAGATAGTATTTCCTCCATACAGATAGATAAGAGTCAGCAGAAACATCCTCAAGAGCATAGATAATAGTACAGTAATTAGGAAGTGTTGAATTGAGTTTAGAGTACTTATTACCAATGTTTTTATTTTTTAAATTGATTTATTTTTTTTACAATTAATTAATTTAATTTATTTATTTTTGGCTGCAATGCGGTGCACAGGCTTCTCATTGCGGTGGCTTCTCTTGTTGCGGAGCCCGGGCTCTAAGCCCGCAGGCTTCAGTAGTTGTGGCTCGCGGGGTCTAGAGCGCAGGCTCAGTAGTTGTGGCGCACGGGTTTAGTGGCCCCGTGGCATGGGATCTTCCTGGACCAGGGCTCGAACCCGTGTCCCCTGCATCGGCAGGCGGACTCCCAACCACTGCGCCACCAGGGAAGTCCTACCTTTGTTTTTAATATAATTTATTTAATTGTAAGTTTATATAATTCAATTTTAAATAATGGCCATGTTTAAAAACCAGCTCACAAAATCCCTAAAAAATTAACGAGCAACTCCAGCACACCACTAGGCATGAAGATTAAATCAAAAGGCAAAAAGAAGCAGACACAAGGGAACCTTGCAGTACCAGAATGACTATATTATTGTATTTCTAGGCATAACACATTAAGAAAAGTTGAAAAATGAAGTGGAAATAGAAATCCTAGTGCTTACAAATGTAAAGTACCACAGGAACTTTTCTATACTGTACTGCATGTAGGAAAGCATGGGTATTAATAAAGAATCCAGAAGAAGAAAGTAAAAGGAAATACACAGATGGGGCTGTCATCACCAAAGCATGTGTTAGAATGGGATGAAGAAATAGGAGAAAAGGAAGAAAAACATGCAGCTGGGCAAATACAGCGCAACCTGAAAGATTCAACGCAGCCCTTTTGTAATTTGGAATAAGTTTTTGTACTTCAGAGTCTTAGACATCACAAAAGCTCTTGGAGTAAGAAACAAAATTTTGAAACGTAAGTTAATTCACTTGCTTTATAGACTTGCTGACTTTCAAGGGAGATTGAGAGGAGAAAACATTTTCAAAATCCAAATTAAGGAGCTGCGAAAACAATCACTTTCACTTTTTTCCTACATTGCAATCTTCCACTCTGAAAAATAGGTTAGCATTTGAAGGGGATCAGGATGTGCCCCCACTGTACCAGGAAGAGAAGAACACTCATCATCAGAGACTGGGAGTCAACACTGAGATGAGTTTGCCTAAACAAACTTTATTAAAATAACCCTTATCTTCCATTAGTTCTCCAATACATTTTCTAGTCACTTCTCTACAATTTATTGTCCTTTGAACCTCAAATCCCCTTTCCTTTGTTACAATGGTAATATGTCCCCAAGTCTAGACACTTCTTTAACTTTTCTGTGAACTCCTGTGCACATAAAAAACTAATAAATTTGTATTCCTTCTCTCCTGTTAACTCTTCTGTCAGTTAAATTCAGACCCCATTCATGAAACAAACCTAACAGAGTAGAGGAAAAATTTTCCTCCTCCACACAGTAATGGTAACTCAGTGCCTTCCAAAGGTTGTCTAAAGGCTTAACTGTGCTTACTTGATATCAGATGCACAGCCCATCACTAATATCCATTCTCTTTCCATGGCTGACATCACTAATCAAGCAGGGTACTTTTTCCCACTGAGCAAAATGTGGTCTCACGATCTCAACCCAGTAGACCAAGCTGCCATACAAGGTGCACCCTACTAGCCAGTTCTGGCTCAGGCACGTCATCAAAAAGACCTTGAATAAATGAAGATCTGCTAAAAAGTAAAAACAACAGAAATTTCATGTGGTTATAAGAAACACACAGAAATAATCTAATCTACCACTGCAGAAAGTAATCAACTGCTTAAAGTCAAACTTACAGCTGCAGGGACTTCAAAACCAAAAGCTGCTGTTGCACTAATTGCAAAATTTTCATCTAATACACAAGGGCTTGGAATAGATCCTAATGGTTATTTTATCTCCATTAAAGGCAATTGGATAAGCAGACCATTAACAGTAGATTCAGCTTCCGTGCTTGTGCCCAACAGGAAACATTTATATTTCAAGCCTTTAAAAAATTTACCATCATTTAGACATAGTCAATAGATAATTGGTGAGGCTGATGCAGTAATAAATGCTTAATAGATAAATCTTCCCCATCTGTAATTCTTTAATAACAGGGATAGATTTCAGTGTACAGACTTCTAAAATACAACAGTCCTCCAAGGTCATTCTCTGTTCTAATATCCTTTGGACAATGAATACAATTTTTAATTCATGCAGACTTATAATTCTCTCACAATTTGATTATATTTTATCAGTTTGGGTGATTTCAATTAAACAAAATAGGAAAGATAGAAAATAGAGACCAAAGCCCAAAACTTTCAAAGTTTTTTTTTTTTAATGCAAAGGATGATAAAGAATCAGATTTGCTGTAAAATAGCTAGTGGGAAGCAGCCACATAGCACAGGGAGATCAGCTCGGTGCTTTGTGACCACCTAGAGGGGTGGGATAGAGGGCGGGAGGGAGACGCACGAGGGAGGGGATATGGGGATATATGTATTTGTATAGCTGACTCACTTTGTTATAAAGCAGAAACGAACACACCATTGTAAGGCAATTACACTCCAATAAAGATATTAAAAAAATCAGATTTGTTGCATGAGGACTCAATTGTTAGGTAATTAATAAACAGTAAGAAATCTTTCAAGAACAGTGACCAACAAAGGGTCCGTTTTCATCCAAGTTCCCACAGATCACTTCTGAGAATGCTTTCAAGTCAATCTGAACAAAAGTAACCTCCTTTCATAAAGAAAAGAAGAAAAAGAAAAAAATATATACAATTATCACAAGAGCATAGGCATTATCACACTAACATAAAGCAAATGAAAGTCAGAAAGAATGAAGAAAAAGTATGGAGAACATGGCTCAAAAAGGTATTCTTAAAAGAGGACTTCAAGTAAATGTTTCTTTGCCCAAATAAACGTAAATACAGTGGAGGGGATCTGTTGGTTTTGTAGTGAAGACAGGAACAAGCTGTGGTGTCCCATGCTCTGTTCCTTCTGGAGGCGTCATTATCGGCAGACCCTCTGTAAAGCTAAATACGGGTCAGAAGGGCTTAAAATATTGTCAAAGGTTCTGCCACATAGGAATCTAGAAAAATGGTACAGATGAACTTATCTGCAAAGCAGAAATAGAGTCACAGATGTAGAAAACAAACTTACAGTTACCAAGGGGGGTAAGGGAGGGTGGGATGGATGAATTGGGAGATTGGGATCGACATATATATACTACTATATATAAAATAGATAACTAATAAGGACCTACTGTATAGCTCAGGGAACTCTACTCAGTGCTCTGTGGTGACCTAAATGGGAAGGAAATCTAAAAAAGAGTGGATATATGTATATGTATAACTGATTCACTTTGCTGCACAGCAGAAACTAACACAACATTGTAAAGCAACTATACTCTAATAAAAGTTAATAATAATAATAAAAGGTGCTGCTACATAATTTGAAAGTGAGTTCTCTAAAAAAACAATTATACCCTCCCAAATGGTTAATCTGTTTCCAACACACCACACACGCAACACAAACAGACACACACACACAGAGGAGAGAAAACCTAAAAACTCAAAAAGAAGGAAACTGAGAACAAATGGACATAATAAACATTTTTGGTTTAAAAAATCAAGGAGTGCTTAAGTTTATTAAATGACATTTTACCCCATAGAGAAATTTTGACTCAGGAAGGTAAAGTTAGTGGAAAAGAAACATAAATGAACCATACAGATCCATATTACTCCTTAACTAGGGTGGGAAATTGCTTATCTCTGTGTTAACAAAGATAAAATACCTAACCAGAGAAAAACACTCATTATGATCAAAACAGATTTATCATGAATAAGCACTGGTGGATAATATATGAAAAATTTTAGTCCATTACTATTAATTGCACAAAATGCCCATGTTAATTAGCTACTTATAAAGGGCATTCCTTTAAACATTTTGTAAGAAAAAGGCCTTTTGAAGGGATAATGAAAGTTCTATGTAAGTCACACATAAAACCAAGCAATTATATGCCTATGCCCCTAGATTTCATAGTGAAGACAGGAACAAGACGGCTGCCCTCTCTCATTTT